GAAGTTTACTCAAATGGCCATGGCAGCGCAATATCTTTGGTAACTGTTCATTAATAGAGCATCTTTGATGGAAAAACACAAAATTTTATCACGACCATCTTGGACATAAAACTGAATATTAAAAATGGTCAATATTATTGTTATAACTATTTTTTGCTATAAATTCATTTACTTTTAGGGCCATTATACAATAAACAGCTCACTACGGTTTTGGTTTATTTAGTCTTTTAAAAAAAAAATAAAAAAAAATAAAGAAATTAAAAAAAAGCCAATAACATTTTTTTAAGTTTGTATAACTTAGAAAAAACTTACCTGAGATCCGAAAAATCGTTATGTTTCTATAGAGGTGTGCTTCTTTTGTGTATAAAATATTGAAATAAATATGATGATATTTTAATTTTAGAAATTTATATTATAGAAATCATAAACGTAATGGTCAGGGACAAGCGGTACGGTCGTGAATTGTCTGGAATAATCTAAATCTCTCCAAACAATCCTTCAATTATACTGTTAGTTATAATAACTAGGTGGCGTTAGCAGAGGCATCCACAAAATTGAGCAGAGTCATCAAGGGCTCATATTATATTGTTTTTGTCATACACTGCAGTAAAAACAGTTGTTTTTAATGCATGCCTTGCTGGTCTAAAGTAGCATTTTTACTCTTTAGGGAGTAAAAATCGTTTTTAGCCTCAATGGAGTAAAAATCAGCTGTTGTCAACTCAGTTGTAAATTTCTATTACAAACGATTGCATGTATCGAAATATGTATCGATTCGTGCTTTATAACCATTTTGACCTACAGTCTACAGTCTCTTTCCCATAGCATTTTAGCATTGCAGATACATTGATCCATTCCCACATTCAACACTGCTCGCCTTTACTACTTCCTTCACCACCCCCTACGTCGTGGACCTGTTTCCTTCTCTTCCCAATCCCATAGCATTTTAGGATTTTAGATACGTTAATCTAATTGCCACAAACATTGCCCACACTCTGCACTGCTAGCCTTTACTACTTTTTTCGCCATTTTCTATCTCGTGGGCATGCTTCCATCCCTTCTCATAACATTTCAGCATTGCAGATACATTAATCTAACTGCTACAAATGGTTTCCAGTTCCCACACTCCACACCTTACTACTTCCTTCACCTCTTCTTACGTTGTGGACTTGTTTCCCTATCTTCCCATAGAATTTTAAGATTGTAGATACCTTAATCTAATTAATCGTCATAAACAGTTCCCATACCCCGAACAGCTCGCATTTACTACTTCCTTCACCACTTCCTACGTCACGGACCTGTTTCCTTCCCTTCCCATAGCATTTTAGGATTGCAAATACCTTAATCTAATGGTCATAAACAGATCCCATACCCCGAACAGCTCGCTTTTACTACTTCCTTCACCACTTCATACGTCGCGGACCAGTTTCCTTCCCTTCCAATAGCATTTTTAGGATTGCAGATACCTTAATATAATCGTCATAAACAGTTCCCACACTCCGGACAGCTCGCCTTGACTACTTCCTTCACCACTTCCTATACATCGCGGACCTGTTTTCCTCCCTTCCCATAGAATTTTAGGAATGCAGATACCTAAATCTAATCGTCATAAACAGTTTCCAGACTCCAGACTGCTCACCATTACTACTTCCTTCACCACTTCCTACGTCACGGACCTCAAGCTAGTGTCGTCATTTGATTATATTTACGATTCATACCGTTTCTGTTCTAATATCTGTGGATTTGCTATCAGCTATTTCTTTATCTACTGCATTCAAAAGTCAACAGCTGATCACATGTTTTTGTTTATGTGTCAAATACATCTATATTTATAAAAGGCAAAGCCCTCACTGACTGACTGACTCACTCACTCACTCATCACCAATTCTCTTACTTCCCGTTTACCTAGGAGGCTGAAATTTGGTACACTGATTCTTTAGGCATTAAATAGGAAAACTAAGCTGTTTTTATTTTGATCTGACTCTCGGGCTCCGCCCCAGTGGCTCTGGAGTTTCCCATGTTAACCTTATGAGTACTCATATTTAAATGGAATTAATGAATCTTAACAGCTGTTTCAATTAAACAAGTTGGTTCTGTTCTATGATGTTCAATAGCATTAAAGTTACAAGGATTACCAACAGGGTGCAGCACTATTATCTCTTTTACATTAATGACAACAGCTAATTTGCAACCAAAAGGTGAGTGAGCGTAGCGAACGAACTTCAACCTGGAGGCGAGTTACCGTAGCGAACGAGCTAACCTGAAGGCAAGTGAGCGCAGCGAACGAGCTCCAACCTTAAAGTGAGTGAGCGTAGCGAACGAACTTCAACCAGGACGTGATTGAGCCATGCGAACGAGCTCATCTTGAAAATTAAGAAGCTAAACGGGGCTATGCCTGCGGGTACAGCTAGTCGAACTATATAACACAACTGGAACACCGGGTAGATAGGAGATTTGGGATAAAAAGCGCGCCGTTTCAGCAACCTTCCCCCACCACAAAGGGGGACTCGACGCAGATATGTCAGTTCCTCAAGCCGTGCACGCGGTTGTTAATAACCTCCTGGCCGTGCATACAATAGGTTGACTGCAATTAAAGTTATAAATTCGGAATCTGTATTAACTGAAGAATCCGGCAGGGCGTAGCCCAAGGGAAATATGAAAATTAAATTAAATTATATAATATTGCATTGTCATCCATTTGTGAGCTATGTTTCAAGTTTCAAGTCTCTAGCTCTTCGGGAACTTAGTATAAAATTGATTGCAAAATTTGTACAGGACTAGAAAGCGAGCTAATAAAAACGTTTTAATATATAATTCTGAGCAATGTACAAAACTCTAATTTTATTTATGAAGATTTATTGTTTGTTTGTTTACTCTATTACTGAATTAATAATTATTAATAATCCATATATTAATTTGAAACTGTTTTTCTTTGTGACAGCTATTTTGAGAGAACGGCTGGGCGTAGAAAATCGGTAGGGGTGTCTAAAGAAAGGTCTTGGTCTGTAGATGAGCCATCAAAAGAAAACGGGGTGAATTCCCTTGGGGCTCTGCCCCAGTGGCCTTAAATTTCCCATCCCATGTTATTCTTATGGAGGAAAAACGGGGTTTTTGTCGCAGCTAATTTGAGAGAACGGCTGGGCGTAGAAACTTGGTAGGGGTCTCTAAAGAAAGGTCTTGTTCTGTAGATGAGCCATCAAAAGAGGCAACAGCTGTTAATATTTAAATTGTGATTTATTGAATTTGTCAAAATAAAGTACAGCATTTGTAACGGATTTTTCTGATTTTAAAATTGATTTTCTTCTGCATCGTGTCATGTTTTGCAATATAATGTTCTATTACCAAATCAGTGGAAAATCCTAATATCACTTATGGAGTTAACTTATATCTATTGTATGGGTTGGTTTCTGCCTTTTTTACCACTTCTTGGAGATTGTACGTACCTAGGTGATATTCTTTGGCTATTGCATCTGTAGACGAAACTTGGATTGGTGTAATTATTACAACGGAAAAGAGCGAGAAATCCTGGACAATTTGATATAGGCTAAAAATAAAACTGAATTAACACTGTGCTACATTTCTTGAGCAATCATTGATATAGGTAACCGATTTGCAAACAATGGAAACATAGAAAAAGTCATAGAACACATCCAGGTAAAAGAAATAGAAATATTTTTTTTACACTAAAAACATTAAAAAAACAAGATCAGCTTTTTGAAAAAAGATAAGATATTTACAAAAGATTTTGATATCTAACTGTTGTGTAGATCGTAAGTATTTCCATAATCTTTGAGTCGCCTGCAATGCTCCGCAATTGCTCGAATTCGAGCAACAGGTACACTAGTAATTATAATTATGATTCTCTTTATAGATGTTTGCATTGGTTTTTGTTCTGCCACACTGTTCAATGCAAACACAAGAGATGTCTATTAAAATAAGTATTAAGAATGATTGTGAGATTTGCCTGTATATTCCAACCATGGTAAGTGAGTGTAACTTATTCAGTTATAGGCTAGTTTGACTAGCCAGAAAACCGGGCTGACACTAACAATGACATGGTTTTTACTTTCCTGACCCTATTTTCACAAGGTCAGTTTGTGTGGTGTATTTTCCAGGGTGGCTCTTTCAGTGACATCCATATCCATGTTAATCAGACACACAAAAAAACATTGAAAATCTTCAAAAATATTGTTCAAAATGGCTCTTCATGCTGGAAATATGTAAACACCTACACCTTACCTACCCTTTAGGTTTTCACCCTACTAGATTTGCTGCTACGGGGAAGGTAAAAAGTGTTTTTTGACCATACGTCAATAGTATAAGATGAAATAAATAAATTAGCCAAATTTTATCAACATATATCTACAAACAAGTAAACTACAACAGTTTTAATTTTCTCCATTAGAATAACAAGGGAATTTTAAATTAAAATATTTTTGAATTTTTTCCGTGACCGTTAGGCATAGCTCTACAAAACGGTTAAAAAATAAATTGCAAACTTTTTGTTTTGAGAATAAAAAATAGGTGAAACCAATTTTTACCCCATAAACCCCTGTTCCCATTGTCCGATTATGCTTGTTCGCGAACTCGTTTGAATAAATGTAGGTTTACACGTTTCTACCAAGTTTCATCAAAATCGGACCATTTTTGCTCGAGTTATCACCCTAACAGACACATATATACAAATATATATTATTCTTGAGGAGATCTTGATAGAGTTTATGACAAATGAAACATGAAACATGGCAAATTTTCTTTTAATACAAATGTTTTCGAGCAAAGAGAAATTAATGAAAAATGTAAAAATGAACAAAATAAATAAATATGAACTGTTTTTTCATAAATATATATATATATATGAATTTTAATGGATGGTGTTTTTGACCTCTAGGGCCCTCAAAACGAAAAATTAAATCGGTCCCGGGTCCAGGTCTTACTATTAGTACTACAGTAAATGGGAAATTCGCTAACAACATTTCATTTCATATAATTTTATTCATTTCAGTACATCAATACAGGAGAAGCGATCTACACTATATAAAGTTGAAAATGATTAATTTACAACTTATCAAAATATAAGAAGGTTTCAACTGACTTATACGATCCCCGCCTATAGAACAGGCACCCTGCTAGTTAAATATCAAGATATCTCTTTTCACCCAAGACAAGGTCAGTTAGTGAAAGTAATCATTTTAACAAACATACTAAAAAAAACAGTATTTTTTTACCAGGCAAACAAATACAAACAACAAACAAATGTGTACAAACAACAAATGGTGTACAAACAAATATTAAAAATTTAAGAAAACATTTTCATAAAAACAATAAAATGATCTTAGTTTAATAATCTAAATGAGAAAAAAAATTAAATAAAAGTATACTGATATTCCAAATAAATATTAAACTAATCAACATAATGAATCTAAACTGATTTGTCTCCACTTCTTCAGCCTCCTCTCCCCCAACCACCATGCCTCCATCGCCTTCTACCCTGTCATCAGGCCTGGAAAACAGAACAAAAATTAATACAAATACCCCCGCCGCAGCAAACCTGCCGACTAAGCGAATTTCCATTTGTCTGAATTGATTTTCAGTAAAATATATTTTAATAACATTAGGTTTAACGAGTACCTAGGTTTGCTGCTACAAGGAAACTAATAAAGTGTGTTTTTGAGTAAAATATTGATAGCTTAGTAGAAAATGAATAAATTTGCCAAGTTTGATCAAAATATATTCATAAACAAGCAAACTACAACATTTGACAATATTCTCCATAAGAATAACATGGGAATTTTAAATTTACAATTTTTTAAATTTTCTCCGTTACTAATAATCGAACAAAAATACTTTCATATACTAAATTATTTGTTTTTTTAAGCTCTTTAAAAAGGTCTAAAGAGAAATTGGGAAATTTTGTGTTTTGAGGGTCAAAAGTGAGAAAAACCAATTTTTACCCCATAAAACCCCCCGTAAAGCCCCGTTCAAATGGTCCGATCATGCTGGTTCGCGAACTCATTCAAGTTTATCCTGCTTTACACCTTTAAACCAAATTTCATCAAAATCGGACAAAAATTACTCAAGTTATCGCGTTCACGGACGTATATATATATATATATAAGTCTATATATATATACATATATAAAAATTTGAACGAATAGTGTTTTTGGCCTCTGGGGACATCAAAATGAAAAAGTAAATCGGTCCCGGGTCTAGGTCTTACCGTGCCACCTACGGTAATAGCTACTTCCCTATAGGGAAATTCGCTAAAAACTGTATTCTGAACAAGTTTAGTCTTTTTATGCATACTTTTATTATTATTTAATGTGCTCAGTGGCGTACTGAGGGGGGGGGGGGCGGTTCGCACCAGGCCCCACACCAACATAGGTCTCCAAATATCAGGGCCGTATTCCCCTAACGGCGGACACTGTGATTTCCGAGGGCTTCGGCCTGGGAAGGGGACTCACTTGCGGCCTCAAAAGAATGCTTTTTTTCTCTTGGAAAATAAATTTTCCCACAATCTGTTAGAATTAGGGGGTACAATAATCCAAGTTTAACTTGTATTCTCATGATAGGCGAAAGCGTCTGCAAAGATTGCGTGATCAAAATTTACGACTACCAGCGATCGCGGGTGACGATAATCAGGCCTCGCAACCGCGAAAGATGTTCACGATTGCTCCGAGGATGCCCACGATTATAACCACTGGCGACTATGGAAGACGAAGATGATGACCCTGCAAACACGGAAGACGCTCACGATTTGGTCATTACCGAGGACAATATCGTTTAATTTTGCCACAAATGCAGTAGTCGTTTGTTTCAATATATAAGTGCAGACACCCATACAACCCATTTTGTATAGGACAAAATATAATGTACAGAGTGTGGCAAAATTATCTGATAGTTTTCTTCTCTTAGTAGTGCAAGTGTTTTTTAAAAGTGGCAATTCCGGTGTAGCTGTTCAGGGGTAGTCCCGTACACGTTTCAACATGGGTCCAAGGGGAAAAGTTCCAACTTGAAACAACATTTTGCTGTGGGTCTGCACTTGGATAAGCTGTAGCTGTGCACATGTCTGGCCACTCAGTAGAAGAATTTTATGATATGACCTGCACTTTTTATTGATACAAAACGGCAATAGTGCAACAGTTGAAGCCCAGTGGCTAAGCAAAGTGCATCTCATTTTCAGAACCAGTGATTGATTTGATTACATGTGACAAAATTGCGTTATGAGCGACGAATCACACTTTCAACCACAACACATAGTCTTTCTCCCTCACTCTCTTGAAGTTCTCTAGTATCTGGGCTGACCTTGGATGGCCTATTGATTTTAGTTTCAATGCTGAACTAGTAGCTCTAAAGTTGCTACCCAAAATGATGTTGCGAGTTGGGACTTTTCTTCTTTGATTCACATTGAAACATCTACTGTAAAGCTACACAGGTATAGCAACTTTTAAAAACACTTCCACTACAAAAATACATGGTGCTCAGCTGTACACAGCTCCATGGCTACTAAAAATTGTTCACACGTTGGCTTTGTAACAACCCTATTCCCACCACCCTCCGCCACACACTGGCTTGACAGGGCGGCAAAGAAAACCATAAAATAATTTTGTTTGTCAACCGCCCTGAATGACCTATTTCTTAAGGTAACAAATTGGCTTGGTGGACAACATTTTATGTCAAATGATCATCAATGAAACAGGAGAGTATTTTTAAGGCTTTTCAAGTTTGTAGGGTACTATTTATTTGAACAGCATTTGAAGGAGGTTGGAGTTAACTTTAAGATAAGATAAATTGAAGCACACTCGTACTAAATACCTTATTGATCTATCAGAATTTTACTACTTCTTTCAACTGCTTCTGTTGACAACGCTTTTCCATTTCTCTTAAAATAATTTTTGTTTCAGTACTTACCAAATGTAAACACTATGACATATTCAGAATAATTATGTTGTCAAAAAATATAGCCTACATTTCCTAAAAAACAAAAGCAAATTTTGGGCACCTCTCCAGTTAAAATGTTCGATACACTAGGAATTCAGGAGGGTTATGCGACATAGGTTTCAGGACACGGCCCTGGATTTATAAGTATTAAATTTGAGGAAATGGCAAAACTTACCATAAGTTAGCTCTCTTCAATCTTCGTCTTTACTTTGCCCCATCCTCCATCTCCTCTTCCTCTGGCACCTCTCCCCTGTACCTTCCAATGTCGGAGGATATTAATTACAACGCCGCCATTCTACTGGTAGGCTACAGCTCTGTACAGAAATATTGCAAAAAATAAAAAATAGTGTTATACAAATAATTTTAGTCTAACAAATAATACAAGAGTGTACACTCCTTTCTAGATTTGCGATATTCAAATAGGTAGGCCTACAGCTAATAGATGCAATTTTTTGGCAATCTGGGTCAAGTTAATATAAATGTTAGAACTTTTATCAATAATTTGGTTTGGACAAAATAAATTGCTTCAAACATTAATTCATTGTTATTTCCCAATTTGGAAAAATGCAAGCTATAGCCTAATTAAGACATTTCCAAACAACATGTTTCGTGATGTAATCCAAATAAATTTTAAGTACCTAGGGGCCTAGTCTTAAATTGTTATAAAAACTAAAAATTTGCATACAGAATATAAATTATCCTCATGTTCCACCAAAAACTATTGTAACTAGTGGGCAAAGTGGCACTTTGCTACACATGAGAGAAATGTTTAAACGAACGAGCCGTAGGCGAGTGTGGAAAGTATCTCGAGTGCAGCAAAAGCAGTTTGCACTTGTGTTACAATAGTTATTTTATTTGTGTAACTAGTGGGCAAAGTGGCACTTTGCTGCACACGAGAGCAACGTTTACGCACTCGCCTGCGGCTCGTGCGGAATGATCTCAAGTGCAGCAAAGGCCTTTTGCACTCGTGTTACACATTATATTTTTCCTACAGTCACTTTAAAGCATATAAATAAATAATTAGTCTTTCAAACACTATACAACACGTTTTTAGGTTCAGCTGGCAACACAAATAGGTGCCCTAGAGAAATAGAAAAGTAGTACCCGGTCCGTATCACTCCGCTATTTTTCCTGGGCGAGAAATGTGCTCCGTGTTTTGAGAATATAGTTCCGTATGTTTTTGTAATTTGAAGTGGTTTCCGCACCTAAAAAATGCTTTAAAGGCATTTTCTTGTTTATTAAGATCGTAGGAATGTTTTAAAAACGTTTAAAAGTAAAGTCCAGAAAGTTCAGAAATACCGAAACTATAAACACAAAATTACAGGTTAAATCGTAGTTATAATAGTCAATCAGCTGCTCATAGTATTTTAATCTTTAAGTGTTGCCAACCTATTTCCAAGCATACACGGATTACGTGCATAATAGAACCACGCTGTTTTGTGTTGTTTCGTTGGAATCCTGATGTACGGCTAAGTATAAACCGTACGGCAAAGTATAAATAAGTAGCTTTCTGTACTATAAACAGTACAAGGAAGCCAACTTTGTCGGTTGACTGTAGGAAAATTATATTTTTCTTACAGTTATTATAAAACATATAAATAATTAGTCTTTCAAACTCGGTTTAACACGTTTTTAGGTTAGGTTAAATCCAAACATTGGTGAAATGGTAAGCTGTACCAGTTGATCCTAACATCTAGTATAATATCTAGTCGTAATATCTTGAATGGGTAGCCAACTTATTTTCAAGTGTACGTATGTATTACGTGTCTAGTTTAATAAAACCAGGCTGTTTTGTGTTGTTTAGTTGGAATACTGGAGTGCGGCAAAAAAAGAGTGCGGTAAAAGTAAGTAAATGCAGCAATTAGCAACTTTCTGTGCTATAATAAGTACAAGGAAGGCCACTTTGTCAGGTGACAGTTGGAAAAATAATTCACATGCGCTTCATTTTGAAAACTGTGAATGACTGACTTAAACAACCTTTTTATTATTACTGTTATCATGTTAAAATGTGTAATTTTGCGCTAATGCTGCCTAGTTATTAGTTTATAACTAATGTGATAACTGTATACACACATTTTTTTTGTCCTAGGACGCTACAGGCACTAGTCCGGAATTTTAATTCGCATTTCACACTTCAGCCTAGGTCTAGGGCTGTGGTATTCAGACAAAAAATAATATAAAAATAAATAATGAAATACATTGGTCATCTGGCAGAATTTGAGCCCCAGCCCGGTACTGAAGTTCTGCTCGCTCCCCTAGGGTACAGAATTTAGTCAATTGTAGGCATTAGGCAGGCCTATAAAATACGTAGAGGAGGCTATGACTTAGAGCATTGGAACGCTGAGAAAGCGTTATGATCAGTCATTAATATTAATCGGGGCCAATCGATGTGACGTCAATAGGCCTATGAGCGAAGACAGAATCATATTTAGTAAATAAAGTTGTCACTTCCAATTACTTGGTGTTGAAAACAATCAGCTGTAGGCTTAAGTTACTTCACCCACAGTTCATTCCACTTGTTAATGTCATCCACCCTACCTTGACTATTCAAACATTTTGAGCGGCGATTTATTCTGTTTCCGTAATATTAATCTGCAGTGAAAAATAGTGGTCTATTTGGATTCAGTACATAAAAAACTACGCAGAGGATACGGGCCCGGTAACCAGACGTGGATTAGGCATCCGGCAGCTACTGTCATAACCTAACCTAACAAACCAAACTTGCTGATAATTGAAAAAATTGAATGAAGGTTAAATTCTGTCCATAAAATAAATTTATAAAAGCAAAAAATTTAAACAAAAGATAGCCTATTGTACAGTTAAGAATAAACCCAAATATGGACAGTAGGCCTAGGACATAAAAATGTTCTTTCCATTTATGATAACCCAACCTAACATAACCGCCGCAAAGCGCTGTATATCTGTAGCCTCCGGATAATACTTACCACAGTACCGCTTTGAACATTGAATAACTTCAAACATAGCCTAGTTATCTATCCCAAAAGGGGAAGAATATTGACTCACCTCACTTAAGTTATGGTTAGACCAAGGAACATTATCACAGCAGTATGGCAATTATTGCCTCCAGGGTACACAACTCTGGTCTCTCTCTCATCTGCAGTGATGTCGATAGCAATGTCGTCCAGAAAGGTCAGTCCTCTTAACTTACAATATTTAAAATAAAGACCAATTTGGGTTCAGGTCAAATTACAGCCTTTGCTCCAGGATCATCTATAAAATTAACATTGAAGTCATCAGCAATGAATGATATAATCCAAGTCAGCTCTAGAATATTTGAAAGCACTTAAGTTTACGTCCTACACTCATTCCAATGAAGGTATTTTAAGCCAAGTATGAATGGAGATGAGTGTAGGATGAGTGGAGCGATCCTGTAGTCTTGTTAGTGACTAAGACCGACATTCCTTAGACACAACTGTTAATTAATAGCCCAAACAGCTAATGACAACTAAGGGACATACAGTTTATAGTGGAATCCGAACCACATTATTGCCTTGGTATAGGCCTACTATACGAATTGGTCTAATTATCAGGATAGTACTGGGGAGAGTTGTAGTAAGTATTCACTCGTGTGGACGTTTATCCACACCAGGGAGTGTCGAATCCACAGTGCATGCCTATAAATATCCACAATTCGTGACCTCCTAGTAGCTGGATTACAGGACAGCGCCACCCGTCCCAGTCATATTGATTATTTCATTTGATAAACTTAGGCCTAGGCCGGCTGCACTTTACTTTACGTCCTACACTCATTCGAATGAAACTATCGATTGTTCGATTGTTTCATTCGATATACCGTTTCGTTAGTTAGGCCTACGTTAGGTTAACCTTACCTAACTTACCAAACCATATATCAAATGATACAAACGATTAATCGATATATCGATTGATATTTTCATTCGAATGAGTGTAGGACGTAAAGTAAAGCCCCTAGGCCTAATATTAAGTTTGGTTAGTTAGGGTAAAACCTAACCTAACTAAAGGAATGAAATATTCAAAATACGGGTACAGTTTCTTAACTGGGCTATGCTAATATAGATTGAAACTATCGATTCGATTAGTAAACCTTCATGCGATTTTTTTGCCAAAAGCAAGTTTTGTTACATAAACAAATTCTTAAAGTTGACACTGGGTCAGTGGGAAAAAGAGATCGGCGTGACTATCCTAATAGCCTAGGGATAATGCCTATTCAAACATTTGCTACAATATTGTTTGATGATCCAGAATTAGCCTAGGAATAAGCTGTATCTTAGGTTCTTGTTGGTGACTTACCTAAGTTAGTGTCTGGTAGGACTAATGTTATGAAGTTATCATGTTGATTACGTTTTTTATCCTATAAAAATTAACTTATTTTACATTATTCCTTTAAAACTATTGTTTGTAACACTCGAGTCATCTATTTTCTTGTAAAAAAGTAAAGAAATAAAAAAGATAAATATTTACAATATAGGCTACTTAAAAGTTTTTAGTCTTAGTCAATAAATAACCAGCTTGAAGATGTCCGTCGGAATTCGGAATCAAATATTGCGACTCGTCGTGAGTTGAGGAACTGAACGATGAATTAGAACAACTCCTTTTCAAGAGTAAAATGATTCAAATGATTCAAATGATTTATTTGGCCATTCAGTTCGTATACAGGACAATAGGCTACGTCAATACAATAAATAATAAATAACATGCCAAGCTTCTTCTAGCATTCTTGACTGACAAAATTAAATTAAAGCTGAAAAAAAAAACACATGCAGGATCTCAAAAACATGCAAAGCAGTGCATGCAACTAAAAATACAAATAAAATGAAAACCACATGCTGCAAGCCATGCAAGGCAGAGAAAAATAAATAAATTTACATTTTTGTAATACCTCTACTGGACTACTGTGGGTTCAACCCAATAGTAACAAGCTGTGCATTCCAAAACTCTTTAATGGAATAGAATGGATTGGCAAGCATCCAAGCTTTTAGTGTGGTCGCAAACTTGTTCGGTAAGAGTTGTCTTACAGTTATGGGTAAGGCATTGTAGAACCTTATTCCTGCAACAGGAAAGCAGTTGAGAGTTAAATCTAGTCTAACTCTATCTCTAAAAATATTTTCATTGTTCCTAGTGCTATAATGATGAACATTATTAACCAATGGAAAAGCTGATTCATTGTTCTTAATCTCTAACAGGCATTGGTAAATAAATACATTGTGTACAGGCATTATATCATGCTGAACAAACAGAGGTTTACAATGCTCAAGCTGATGGACTCCACACAAGACCCTGACAGCTTTCTTCTGTAGTTTGAGTACTTTTTGCACTCCAGGGGAGTGACCCCAGAGCCTAGTGCCATACAGAATGTGAGCATGGAAAAAAGCAAAGTACGCAAGTCGAACAAATTCAAATGGCATGTCAGCCTTCAACCGTCTGAGCAAATGGATTACACGACTTAGCTTACCACACAGGATTTCAATATGATCGTTCCAATCAAGCTGAGGGTCAAGGGTGAAGCCCAGCAGCTTTACAGTGTTTTCTTCCCTCAGTTCCCTAGAAAGACTGAAAGTGATGTTTTGAGTTTTGGCTTGGTTCAGGCATAATTTATTGTTGCGAAACCAGATAGAAGCTACATCTAATAATTCCTGCACAGCAACTTTAGATACAGAAAAATCTGAGTGACTAGAAAAGAGAGTTGTATCATCTGCATATAGCAGGACATTGCCTGCAACACTGTGATACAAGTCATTGATTGAGATTACAAAAAGGAAGGGACCCATAATAGACCCTTGCGGGACTCCATTGTTCACCATCAGAGGATTGGAAGAGTTACCATTCCAAGTCACAACTTGAGACCTCCCTTCAAGATAAGATTTAATCAATGAGAGAGCATCGCCTCGTACCCCGTACCTTTCGAGCTTTGACAACAGGAGACTATGTGACACACAGTCAAAAGCGCGGGATAGGTCACACATTACAACAGAAGTAGAATTTCTAATCTCTAGACCATTTAAGATTTCTTGAACAAGACAGTCCACAGCCTGAACGGTGGACTTTCCTTTTTGGAAGCCAAATTGAGCGGGCACAATAAGGCGATGCCTCTCAAAGTAGCTGTACAGCTGCTCTAACATGACTGCTTCAAGCACCTTACCAAAGATGGGGATGATAGATATTGGTCTGTAACTTACAGTACTGTCCTTTGGTCCCTTTTTGTACACAGGTACAGTCCTACTAATCTTCAGAGCCTCAGGTAAGACTCCTTCTCTCAGAGATTTATTTACAATATCTACAATGATTGGCGCAACTACATAGATACATCTTTTTAAAAGCTCAACAGACATGTTATAAAAATCTTGACTCTTAGAGGATTTAAAGCTACTGACTACTCTAAGCAGCTTATCAACAGTAACAGGTGTCCATGAAAAATTAGTGGGAACAAATGGAACAGAATTAAGGCAATCATAAGGAACAGATGGATCAGGTTTACAAGAGAGGATTAATTCATCAACAGACTCAAGAAAATATGAATTAAACTCATCAGCAGTGCAAAAGTCTTTAGCAGGAACAGTAGTGGGGGTTTTATGCCTATTGATGTAGTTCCAGGCAGCCTTGCAAGCATTTGGAGATGTAGCAATGGCAGTAGCAGTAGCAAATTGCTTCGCCTCCCTTACCTTCAAACGATAATGCTTCCTGAGATCACGAAGGTAGGGCAGCAATTGTGGGTTACTCTTGCATAAGTCACTGATACCTAGGATAAAGTTCTTAAAGGCAGAGAGTTCAGGTGTGTACCAGTTGTTTACACTGCACCCAGCATTTGCCTTGGCTGGAGGCACAGTCCTGCAGGTTTTATTTCTTAAGGGAAAACAATAGTCAAAAACTTTTCTGAAATTATCAAAGAAATAGTCAAAGGATTGTTCAGCATTAAATGATTCTATTTCAGAGAGCCACTTTACTGCCAGATCAGTCAATACACATTGAAAGTAACAGTAGTTACTTTCATTAAATTGTCTGTAAGTTACAGTTTTGACAGGATTATTTAAGTAGTCAGGTTCCTGCAGACCATGTTTGGATACACCTTCAGGTAGATCTAGTTTAAAAAAAACATGTTTGTGATCAGATATCTGATCTACACTTACATGGGCCATGTATCTCCAGCTATCAAGATTGGTAAGAACAGTGTCTAAAGGAGATAGACCACGGGTTGGTTCATTGACACTGAAGAATATATCATGGCTGCGGAGAATGTTCCTGAAATCACTGGCCTCACTTGGATGGTTGAGTATATTCACATTGTGGTCAGTGCCGATTATAATATCTAACCCCAGGGAAGTTAAGTAAACTAGACACATGTCAAGTAGATAAAAAAAGCGTTCAAAACTACCACTAGGCGAGTGATACATGGTGACAACAATGAGATTCAAGTTAGAGATGACTATACCTGTAAATTCTGCATGCAGTTCTTCACAGTACTCACTTAAGTCTAACAAAGAGTAGTTCCATTTAGTATTAATATAAATTGACACACCCCCCCAAGAGGTTTTTCGACAAAAACAAGATACAAGGTCAAGGCTATTGATTCTAGAGTAGTATGCAGTTTCTGCCTCTAACAACCAATGTTCAGACACACAAAGCACATCAATGTCCAGTTGACAGCAAAGTATCTCAAGTTCAGCAATTTTATTGCGTATAGATTGCACATTTATAGCACACACAAGCAGGCTACTAGCAGATTTTAGATGACTATACCTGTAAATTCTGCATGCAGTTCTTCACAGTACTCACTTAAGTCTAACAAAGAGTAGTTCCATTTAGTATTAATATAAATTGACACACCCCCCCAAGAGGTTTTTCGACAAAAACAAGATACAAGGTCAAGGCTATTGATTCTAGAGTAGTATGCAGTTTCTGCCTCTAACAACCAATGTTCAGACACACAAAGCACATCAATGTCCAGTTGACAGCAAAGTATCTCAAGTTCAGCAATTTTATTGCGTATAGATTGCACATTTATAGCACACACAAGCAGGCTACTAGCAGATTTTCCCGTACTAGGCAAGATTTCAGGCCCATAACCTAGGATTGAGTTTGACGGGGCTGCATTTTCCCTAAAAAAGTACGAGAAGGAATGTAGCTTTTAACGTTATTTTGTCTGCCTGAACGACGTTCTTCAAACTCTTTTACAAAAATTCCCTCGGGCCAAAATTCAGGTTTCAATAAGTCCTTAACAAGATTATCAGAGACGCTTACCTTGAAACTTGTATAGTCTGAAAACCTGGTAGGTAGTTTCTCACATTTGTTACAAATAACATTTTCACTTTTTAGATAGGATTCAATGTCACTACTTTCCGTATCTGAAGAACAACGACTAACAAAAACTGCCTTGGATTTTTCCGCACGCTTGAGACCACTTTTGTCAGTATTTGAACCTATAATGGGTTTAGTCTTAGTTTTAGGAAACCTAACCTCTTCTTGAGACGTCTTGGAAGTTGTAGGTCTAATTTTGTTTCTAGGCCTACTGTCAGCATTGCTAGCTAGTACTTGGGAGTAGCTTTTATTCCTATTTTCAGTGTTTCCGGCCTCCTGTCCATTCACTTTGTCATCAGATTCGGAATTTGGTAGACTTGACTCTTGACTAGGCCTAGGTAGGCCTATAAGCTGAGAATGGGTTTCTGCAGAGGACCGCTTCTTGGTTTGTACAACATCTTCAAGTTTGTTGTTTAGTTCGAGGTTATTTTCAACAAATCCTTTAACGAGAGATATTAAGTTCTGGACAGTAGAATTTAGGTTAATAAATTCTTCAATATTACACACTCTCGTCTGCAGACTTTTGAGGTTAACATCACAGGAGTCACAGAACCACTTGGATTTGTCCCCTAATTTGTTTACTAAGTCATATTCAACTGAAGAAATATTTACACAAGCAATGTGGTACCATTTGGAGCAAAAACCATCACAGAAAATCGCATTACAATTATTTTTAACTAATTTAAAACAAGAGCCACAATTAGGATCAACGTGACCATCCGCCATGACACTTCCAAAAAGCTAGTACTTCCAAGTAGCTGTAGCTCCGAAGAACGGGAGCTTGTCGATATACTGGGACTATTTCAGTGTCGACATAGTGAAACTATTTCATTGTCGACAATATGGGATGTCAACAATTTGTGGTGTCGATCATTTTCGACGTCGGTTATTTGGGATGTCGGTTAAGTGGGAATATTCCAGTGTCGACAAACTGGGAATAATTCAGTTTCGATCAATTTCTACGGTTGTCGATATTATGGAACCCACCCGTTATATGGGATGTCTGTCAAATTCGACTACTGTATTTCTGTTTCGGTCATTTGCGTTGTCGGTCAATTTTTCTAGTCTGCTACGCTTCCGCTTGTCTTGTCGCTTGTGTTGTGTTCGTTCTGTGTGTTCGTTGTTCGTTCATTGTTTTGTTGTTTATGTCTGTCAGAGCACTGCACTAGTTAGTCTAGTCTCTTTAGGTTATGTTGAAGAATGTGAATTTTTGAATGTGTAGCC